TTTATTATACTTATATATATATATAAATATATTATTTTGCTATATAAATTTAAAATATTTTGTAAAGTTAATAATGAACAATATATTTTTAAATATATAATTCATTTGGAAAATGTACAATTTTAAAAAAAATAATAATTAAATATATAAATTGAGAAATAAATTGTTAAACTGTAACATATTTAAATTTGTTAAGGAAAAAATAATTATTTTAGCATAAAGATAATTATTATTTATTTATGTGAGAGAATGTTAGATTAAATAGTATTTTGATAATAATTTTTTTTTGTAATGGAAGTTAACATATTTTTTTAAAATGAATAAAATATTGTATAGTGAAATCTGTTAAAGGAGGAGGTTGTAATTTTTAACTTCAAATGAGTGTAATATTTGTATATCTTATGGAGGGAAGTTTAATTTACTCTAATAAATTTATATCATTTAGTACATGAATAAAACTTATAATATACATAATTGAAATATGTTAAAAGTTATATAATTGTGGTACTTGAGGAGCTAAAATAACTTAATTAAAATTTAAAGGATCAAAAATCACATAATTAAGATATTTAGGAACTAAAATGTAATTAAGTCTTTTTATTGTTCAAATTATAATAACGTTATCATAATTCAAATTTAAAACTTAGGATATAAGTAAGTAATGATTCACCCACAATTATTTAACCCAATTACCCGACAAGATACAACCTAATTATAGTCGGATTTAGTTGTTTGAAGAAAAGTTTACAAATTTTTAAGTTTGTCATTTTCATGTGTGATGCAGCTCTATAGCAACTTCTGACTATTCTCCAGGTTAGTCCATGCGTTTAGGACACGTGTCTGATGATGTTTTGTTTACTATTTTTAACACATAAAAAGCTAAATAAAAGGAGTTGAGACTAAGTCAAAAAAATACAGCCCTGCCCTGAAATTAAGCTTAATCTGATACCCATAGAGGAAACAGGGAAAACACTAAGATCCAAATAATACACAATTGACAATTACACACCTTACTAAAACATAGTTGTGATACCAAATACAGGCAGTAGAATTGTTACATTCGTGAAGATCAACAGAAACTAGGACACAATCTTTATTATAGAAAGAAACACAAAAGCAACGCATAAATCACTACTCCTGAGAATAGAAATTATTTGGGTAATTCAAGGATAAACTTCAATAAGCGACCTCATACCAAAGATGGATGTTATCTTGTAATGACTGAATCCAGCTTCCAAGAAGAGTTTCTCCCATTCTTTTTCTTCTCTTTCTTTTCCATTAACCAGAACCATCATTAACATATCAAAAAACAGCTTTGCTTCTGTCAATACATGATTTTCATTCTTTTCCCCGATCACTATGTCTATAATAATTACTTTCCCTTCCTTCCCCTTGTTTGATATAGCCTCTCTGCATTTTTTCAGCACCTTAATGCACTCTTCATCACTAAAAGCATGCAATACCAACTGCCACATGCATAATTAACCAAATTAAGATATCTTCTAACCAAACTTAACATTTATGTAATAGTTTTATAAAGATGAACATTTCACATACCTTAAGAAGAATGGCATCTGCTGAAGGAATAAACTGAAACATGTCACCTCCAACAAATTTCAAATTGGGGCTGTCAAGCAAATTTTCAACCACATGTGGAAGATCAAGCACAGTCCAATGCAAATTAGGTAGTGACTCACAAACTATCCTTCCAACAGCTCCTTTACCACCTCCAACATCAACCAACGAATTCAGCCCCTCAAAAACAGATTTGCAGTTTTTGATGACCAAATTCATCATCCCGGAATCACTGATCATTGCTTCATTGAAGAGGCCATTAAACTCTTGGTTTTGGCTTAAATACTCCCAGTAACTCATGCCAAATGCAGTGTTAAAGGGTGTTACCTCATTTTTGTGAAACCACTCAGCCAAAAACTCTGATGAGTGAACCAGAGCCGGATGAAACATTGCTCGAACAAAAGGAGACAATGTTGGAACATTTTCTTTAAGGAGTAGCCTAGAGGAAGGTGTGAGATCATACCCCACTTCTTCTTTATCTTCTTTTATAACCTTGCTTGTCACAAAGAAGCCAGCATGCACCAACAAGCGCATGAGCCTATACACATAACCTGATTTATTAGGGTTGATCTCAAGTGCCAAGACCAACTCAGGAATAGTAATTGGTTGGCCATGCTTTGAGATTACGTCTGGTATTCCCAAATGAACTGCACTTTTGAGAGACATGGAACCAATGAAGCTATAAGTGTAGTTATATAAAAGGGCCTGAGCCTGAAACAACTCTTCAACATCCATCTTTTGCATAATTCTCTTCTTTAGATCACTTCTGCTTTTTATAACAAACAAAACCGCAACTGATCTGAATTAGTAGGTTGTTGTTGTTTTGTTATTCCTTGACTTTTGACTTCTAGAAAAGTATGAGTTTCACTTTCTTCTGCCAAAGAAAGCCGTGACTGAAATACAAGACCAGAATCGTTGAAGTTGAACCAACGCTCGTTAATTATTATTTTTCATTAATTGTACAACTAGTAGAGGTGACTTTTGACTTTTTATATAAACAAAATGAGGGTCAGTTTCTTCTATCGCAAAAGTAACTTAGTTGAAGAAGAACTAGATTTACTAATCCAAATTATATTAGTTAAATTTTGGTCATAGCATGGAATAATTTGCAGGGTAATTAATAACTTGAATTGTGCTGATGTTAAAACTTATTATTTGACTTTCAATAATAAAAATAATTTTTCATTAAGATGGAGAAGCCATTTTTCAATCTATATATATAATTCAGCCTCTACCTCTCCAATCATTCAAGAAAGGGAGTGTTGATTGATAATGAGTGGAGTAATTAATTTATAACAAAAATTACACTTACAACTCTGATAAGTAGTATCAACCGAAATGCAATCAAATCACCAAAGTAAAAATCTCAAATATGGGACTAGTCATCAGAGTTAACATAGATAAAGCATTTAACCACCAGAAAGAAGTTACACATAATAGTTGACCACTAAGCATTAGTAAACTAAACAAGACTTATGATGAGTGTCAATCCTATAAAATTGATTTCTACTCCTTTTAGAAAATGATTCGAGTAAAGTTGAATCCAGAGGGAGAATTCGAGTAGAAAATTAAAATTAGAAAAAAAAATAAACAAAACAGTAAGCAAAACAAGGAGATTATAAGGTTCAACAAAAGTTATCAAGGTATAATCTTACATCCAATTCTTAGGATCAACTATTGGTTCAAAGATATGTCTTTTCCCTTAAAACAAAATGATCCTAGTCATTAACAAACTCTAATAATAATAAATGTCCTGTTGGGATACAAACAAGTCCCGCATCGATAAAATATGACAAATAATAATAACTTATATAATACAAACATACTTCAATGATTGAGAGACCTTTTGGGTGATGACTAAAAGCAAAACCGTGAGGGCTAAGTCCCAAAGCGGACAATGACTAGGGTTTTGCAACACTCATGTTGTGTTAAATTTACATTTGGAACGACTCGTTCTAGTTGCAAAATTAACACATAACACCTATGCATCTACGTGACATTCACGTCAGCAGGAGTTAACCCGTTTAAATCATTTGGACGGAAATCTCAAATTGCAATGATTTAAATTATTGAGGATTAAATTGAAACTTAAAATTAAAGTGAAACTAAATTGAAACAAAAAAATATTATCAGAGATCAAAAAAGATATTTAACCTAAAATAAATGTGTTAGAGCGTTGGTGGAACTACTCTCACATTCTCACCGAATAATGCTATTTGGTACGAATTATTCATTACGAAAGCATTTATGAAGGTTGTTGTTTATTTTTTCATTGGTTGAAAATTAAATAAAAAATGATAATAATATGAGGAGTTTGAGCTTGACATAAAATATGCAAGATTCATGAATTTCTAATTTTCGTATGTTTTCGTCTGGTACTATTTAACATTTCTCTCCCTGATTTGCAAATTAATATTTTTTAAAATGAATTTTAATTTGTCAAAAAAATACAAATACATTTGATATTTAAAGTTTAAAATTTTATGCAAACTAGCATAATGAAAAACAGATATTTTAAAATTTGTATATGAGTTAATTACCTATAATGTAAAATATAAATTTAGGCGTGTAATTTAGTGGTGGTGATCCGATGAATGTGTTTGTGCAGGCGTCGGAAGAGATGAGAAGTGAAGGGTGAATTGGTGTGTGAGTTTCGCGGAAGCTGCAAGCGTTGATGATTGAGTTGAAGCTAGGTCCATGTCTATGCGCGTGTTCACCAAGAATAACAACATTTAGCATTTGGTAGTTGCTGCATCTGAATCGAAGCATGGCTCTTCCACTCGTGAAGCTCGGAACTCTCGCCCTCAAAACCCTCAGCAAACCCGTCGCCAGTAGGCTCAAGCAGCAGGCCGCTCTTCACCCCAGGTTCCGCCACATCATCGTTAGCATGGCGCAGGTAGCTGCCTTCATTCCCTTCTTTCTTCAATTTCAACTCTCGCTCGCACGCTTTTTTCATTCATACTCATGATTTTGCAATCAGGCCAACCATCAAATCACCACCAAGATGCAGAGGCGCATCTACGGCCACGCCACGGATGTTGAGATTCGCCCATTGAACGAGGAAAAGGCTGTTCAGGCTGCTGTTGACCTTATTGGGGAACTCTTTGTCTTCTCGGTGCGTTTTACTTGTGCAAACAAAGACTCAACACACTATTATAACTTTATAACCATTCTGTAAGAGCAACTTAACTTTGTTTGTTGGTCCAATCTGCTCTGTGCTGCATTCTGGTGTAGAATTTTGCTCACAACCATATGAGACTTATTCTACGAGATAGGACTAGGTTGCCCAATTCCTAATATCAGGCATGAAATTGGAAGCTCTTTCAATCTTGCTTTACTTAAAATTACATTCAATGTATAACATTACCATAGGTACTGTTTTACGATCAGAATTGGGGTTTTATCCTGGTAATATGCATTGACACTTAATGGAGTCCTTTATTACATATATTACTAAGGTGAAACTTTGATTTTGATTGGAAAATAACGCTAGCAACACTTATGATTCTACAAGTTTTATCCTTCTTGTTTTCCGTGTGTGTGCTTTTGAGGTATAATCCTTGTTTGTAATTATTGAAAATCGAGACTTAAGTATGAGCTTTTACTTACAATTGGCTGAGTAGGTAAAATGGTTGTTAAATTCCTGAGTTTACGAGGCTAGGGCAGAAAAATGATTTAACTCATACACAAACACTCCTTTTATCAAACTCATTCAAGTCTAAGCAAACTTTGACAAATTTGGTTACTCTCGACCCTACTGTCATGTTTATGACCTGAATTTACCCATGGTTTTGCTCTCAAAGCACAATTTTGTTAGTTACTTGAGTTGAGTTACCAATTTTATGAAATTTGTATTGGGCTTATGACGCTAATCTTATGTATTTGTTATTGTTTTGTTTTGTAAAAAATACAGAATAATATAAGTATAGTATAGTATAGTTGTTTGACCATTGTTGAGTTATATTTAACTTTTATTTCTTTCAATTGATTTGTTATAGATTTGGAACATCAAATATTAGTTATGAATATGCAGTTTAATTTTTTTTGGTCACAAGATATGTTCTTTACCTAGTATTTTAAAGCATGTTGACTCGTTATCATTCAAGTTTACAAGTTGAGATTAATAGGCTCCTGGAGTTTAGCTTAACTTTAGAGTATGATAGTAGGTACTATGTACTAGGTTTAGGGTGATTTCAAGTGGAGAAAACCAAATCATCCTATGTAGAAAAGTTATCAGAACAATTGACACTTTAAGTTAAGTGGTAGTTTATTGTCAGTTGCTGGTCAGAAGTTGTGTGTGTTTAATAATATGATAAATGGTTAAAATAAATATGTCTATAAGTAGACAAACAAATGGTACAAAATGGCTGAAATTGCAGTTATCTTGCCTTATATCATATATGCAGAACGTTCAATTAAATATTTTAACAAAATTGAAATAACAAAAGGCTTATGATCTAATGGACAGATAAAATGCTTGTGAGTTGTGATCTTTAAAGTTAAAGATTTTTTTTTCTTTTATCTCAGTTTAAATAATACTATTTTACAAGAGCAGTATTTCCATCGAAGGAGAGATGGAAATTTAAAGGTATGAAACCTTGGGGTCTTGGTACACGTTAGTTAAGTGTCTTATTATAATAAGAAAGATCAGCATGACCCCCATCACAATGAAACTGAAAAAGAGATCCTGTTGGGAATTTATTAACTCTCAGACCCAGCACGTGAGAATGTAAATCATTTTTACATGTTTGACCAAAATAATTTGTATACATACTCACAGGCCTTGTCCTTAATTGTTTGTTTCTGTGCCTTTGTGCTTGCTATACTCATAGGTTGCAGGAGTTCTCTTGATCTTTGAGGTACAAAGAAGTGCTAGATCTGAGGCAAGAAAGGAGGAAGTACGAAAGCAAGAGCTGGGGGTAATTTCAAAATAATAATCTTGTTTAAATAGCTTTTGACATTATGTGTTTCTTTTGGTTTCAAATATGTCAAGTGTTCTTTCTCTTTCAATTTTTTGTTTTTTTACTTCTTTCATCCTTGTTTTCAAATTTACTTTATTCTTTTTGTTTATATGTTATTTCCTCCTAACTTTAATTATCTTATTCTTATCAATTGTCATGCCTCCTATGTTCCTATGTTAAACATATTACATATATTACCTGTTCTCATTTTGTTATACGAAGGATGTTATACCAACACTGTATCATTCTGTGATATCGTTGTTGTTTGCTTAATCATGATCCCTCAATATATTCAAGATTTTTTTTTACAGAAACTTGACCAAATTCAATACACAAATAATTTTGTTTGTAGTATTATTACTATGATGGGAGATTATTCCCACCTTATGCTGAAGATTTAAGAAACATCTGGCGGCTCTTGTATTCTCATGATTTATTGTTCAACTTGTAAGCCATAATCATCAATCTTTCAGATAAACAACAAAATGCTGCTAGTTTAGACCTAACTGTTTACTTCACAGCTTTGCTTATATTGCCTAAGTAGAAACAGCTGAACTGTTTGCCCGTATCACATTGTGAATTAAAAATCAATTTCTAGAGCAGCTGAGTGGAGGCTGTGATGGATTATGATTCATAGAGAGGGCTTCATATTTGAAGATATCAATATACACGATTACAAACTTTTCAGCTTTTGATTGATTCAATACCTATATTTCTCAGATGGTACCATCAATTATTTACATTACTGTTTCAGTGTTTCCCAAAGGTTGTGTTAATGTTTTTTGGTGTATATATTTTATTTTAAAAACTCTATATGGGATGGTTAAGTTGACAGTAATACAGAGTCATAATAATTACTAAATTTGAGAATGAAAACATAAATCTTTAAATGTGGTTTGTATTTGACCTTTTGTGAAGAAGCTGCTATAGGACAATGTGAAGGCTTTTGTCAATGTGCTTAGTGTTGGACTGGATATTGTTACAAGTCTGCATTGGTTAAATTGAGGGAAGGTTTTAGGCCAGGCAGTTTATTTTAGCTATCTGAACTGTTTGTTTTTTTAGATTCTACTGTTAAAGGAAAAGTGGCTTATTTTAATAATCCATGGCAATTTGTCCTCCTTCTATTGGTATATAAAATAATAAAACGACACTAAAAAACTCTGTATTCACTGTCATTGGTTCCCAATTCAGGCTAACTGAGAAAAAATATCTAATAGTAAACTTTTCATAATTTAACATTCCCCAACCATTGTTTATTTTTCTTTAGGCTGTGAAGCAAAAAACTGAGAACTTGGCTGAAGAAGTAGAACTTCTTAAGCATAGAATTCAAGAACTGGAACAGATGGCCAGGGGACGAGGACTGACTGGCATTCTAAACTTCAAACATGGTAATACAGAAACTGGAAAGGCAGAGAAAACTGGTTGAGCTGATGAAGAATATAATAATTTATCACATTTTTTCATTCGTCTTTTGGGATGAATGTAATTCAGGCTTAACTTTTGATTCATCTGAGTGTTTCTTCAACATATTTTTTGACTGCAGTCTTCGGCCATCCATTTATTTCAAAATCTCTTTTGTATTAAAGAGAACTCAGATTGAAATCCTTAGTGTATTGCCCAGAATAAGTTGCAGAGACAGTATAATTCATAGCGGTTAGGAGGTGACGCTATCAATTGAATTGTAAATGCATCATTTCAAATGTTCCATTCGCCTTCTCAAGTCCACTTGTTAATTTTTTAAAAGAACATTTATTTTTCACGTATTCACTTTCTTTCTCTTTCAAGCATAAATGAATATGCAATTGGGTAGTGCTTGGATTTATCTGCATTGCATAATGGTAAGGACCTAACGTCCTTATTCATTTAATCATGGCAATAGAATCTGTTGCAGGCAATGTTGTGTTTCAGATGATGGTAACCATTTTAGCTGGCTAAAATAGTGAAGCAATTTATGTGATTATGAAGTTTGATGACAAGGTATCCACCGCATGTGATCCCGATTGCGCGAGCACAATCAACCACCCCACTATGCCCCCTTCTAGGTTTTGCTTAGGGAAAATAGAGGGTTATGGACATGACATGTGGATGGTCCGAATGATAAGCCATGGGATGCAGGTGGATATGATATCCATTAAGCAGCCTCCTGTAAAGCTCTTCCATTAAGAGAAGCATCAAAACAGGAATATGTTGGACGGTAGTGGAGGAGTACTTTATTCCTTCCTTACCCTGATATCTTTCACCTATTCACCCAATAGAACATTTTCATCTTAATTTTTTTGTAATATTTGGCAAGAAAAGGGGAATCACCTTTTTTATTTTTTTAGATTTCTTGTATGATTTATTTTATTTCTTTGATTTCTCTTCTCCCTTTTTGTGCCGTGATCTCATTGAGTCACAAACAGATAGTTGTCAAGATACATTTTTAAAAACCAATGGGAAAATTATGCAAAGAAAAGAAAAACACACCAATCACCTTGTTCTTTCGTTTTTATTTATTTTCTTGGATTGGTTCTATTCTTCCTTCCATTTCTCTTCTCCGTTTTTGAGCATTTAAATTGGGCCACCAACAAATAGTTGCCAATTTTATTTTATTTTTTTCGTAAAATCTAATGGATACATTCAGCAAAGAAGAAAAAAGAAGAAGAAGGAAAACACGTGTTTTATTTCATTAATTACACCAAAATCAACTTTGGATTATGAATCTAATTATTTTTCGTATATAAAAAAATTATAATGTTATTTTTGTATATATAAAATGAAGTTTGATTTTATTTTGTTACATATGTTTTTCTCGAGTCGTGACCTAGAAAATAAAGCATTTTTGAAATATGGCACACTCGTTGAAGGACCACTCTTTCTGTGATGTATGCCATCAACATTTGAGAAGTGATAATATTGGGGTAATTAGGAGACAACGACATCCTATATCTCAAGGAAAAAAAATGATTTTGAGAAGTATTTCTTAAATTTTACAGTTCAAAAATTATTTTTATATAAATTTTATACCTCTTTCGTGTTGTTTTATTTTGTTTTTTCTTTTGTTGACAATTGATACCGTGTTTTACTTATTTTTGAAATATATGTAGTATAATTCCTATCGATGATAATTATGAGCATACGACACATAATTTTTAACCAGCCTAAATTAATTGCTCCAATCGAAGGATATAAAATATACACCACAAAAACATTATGTAAATAAAATTACTATAAGTCTAACAAAATAGATGTTATTATGATTCTCTTCATGATAATATTGTACTCCTTGAGATCTTTTTAAAAAAAAAAAACAAGTTATAGTGTAAAATATTACAATTTATTTCTTATAAAAGGAGAAAAGATAGTAAAAAGGAAATCTTTTATATTTTTTAAGCCATTAAATAGGAATTTCATAAAGAATTTCCTCTGTAAATATTAAAATACAAAGAAGATAATGAAGGGGGTTACAACCGTTATTTCTGGTAAGACATTGGGTATATTAATATTTATTTATCCAGCAACATATATTCTTCAATCTCCACTTAACTGTAACTGTATTGTCCCTATGCTTTTTTCTTCTTCTGTTTTTTGGTTGTCCCCTTTCACACACACTGATCTCGTCAGTGGAGAAAGGGAAGGAGAGGAAAAGAGAACAGATTAAAAAGAGGAAAAAAAGAAAAAAGGAAGCATATTCTCTCTCTTCTCCCTTTCCATCTCCTTATAAATCTTTCTCTGAACGGAGAGAGAGAGAGAGTATTGAACCTTCTATCTTTAATAGAGAATTTGGAGCCTCAGGTGAGCATGTAAAACTTTTCGTTTTCTAAGTCAGGTTTCTTGGTTGAAAACCTTGATCATGACTTGGGTTAGTTTTGCTTTCCAGTGTCCTAGTTGTGTTCCTTCGAGTTAATATTGTCTTTTGCTTCAGAGTTGGAGATTGTTTTAATGATGTTTTGTCCAATGTTTTTGATTGGTTTGTTAATTTTTTTTTCTTGTTTCATTTTCTTAAATTTGTTTCTAAATAATCTAATTGTTTTGATCTTCATTTATGTTTTCTGTTTTCATCAGAAATTGAGCTCGTGCTCCTTCTCTTTTTTTTTTTTTTTTTTTTTTTTTTTTTTTTTTTTTTAAAATGGTTCCTTTTTTTTTTTTTTTTTTTTTTTTTTTTTAGTTCATTAATTGAAAATGGGATGAATCTTTTACTATGATTTGACTTAATTTTGTGATGGGGATGTTGGAATCTTGGTTTTAGAATCTCTGGACTTTTGAGGTGGGGTGGCTGAGCTGGAATATGCTCCTGATCAATGACAATGATCATGATAAACTTATCTCAAAGTTGTTTGCATCATTTACGTTTTCTCTCTTTCACCAAGGTTTTATTTGCAATAGACTGAAACTCATTTTTATTGGTGAATATAGGGTCTTGTAGGCAGGACTTGAAGTTTGGTGATGAAGAAAATTTCCAAGAGCAGCTGCAAGTCAGCATCACACAGGCTTTTTAAGGACAAGGCAAGGAACCATGTTGATGATCTTCAGGTGATGTTCTTGGATCTGCAGTTTGCCAGGAAGGAGAGCCGTACGGTTGATGCTGCACTTCTTGAGGAGCAAGTCCATCAAATGCTTCGTGAGTGGAAGGCTGAGCTCAATGAACCATCTCCTGCTTCTTCTTTGCAACAAGTAAGCTCATAGAGCCTATTTAGATATAAGCTTATAAGAGCTTTTGATAATTTCTCTACCGAAAATAAAGAACTTTTTTCAATAGAAAATTTTTCAAAAGTACTTATAACTTACATAAAAAAAGGCTTGTAGTAGGCTCCTCAATTGTAACTTGCAGACTTAATTGTCATGGTGATCGTAATTTGTACTTTTCCAATTGTGAATTTGTGGTGGCCACATGTGAACTTTGAATGACTATTTTTGGTAAGGAATGATTTGAGTTGTTGTATTTATGGCTGACTATAGGGTGGCAGTCTTGGATCCTTCTCGACCGATGTTTATAGGCTATTGCAGCTCTGTGAGGAGGAAGATGATGCCACTAGTCCATTAGTTGCACCTAAGCCTGAACCTAATGATCTGACTATGCAGGTTGGGGCTAAGGTCATAGTCCAAGAGGTGTGTGCCCTTTTTACTTTTGGAGAATTATTCATCCATTTTGATCAGAGTTCAATTCTTTATTCCTTTCTGTGGCTCTAAAATTATTGATTTTGAGGCTTCTCTCTTTCTGTTGGTGCCCTATTTCAATTCAGAATGGTTGATAGTATCTTCTAATGCAAACTGAAAAACTATAACCTGATATATTATCTTTCACTTGTGATAAGCTTTTTCTTTAATGTATTTTTTGAATCTTCCATTTTCTTATGACAGAATAGTGTGGCTTTGATGGTTTAGTCATATTTTAGAAAACTTATAATTAATACTAAAATTCTCCCCTAGAACTCAAAGCCAAATTTTCGTTCTTATGCAGTATAGTTTGATCATTATTTTAATGCTGGTCAGTATTTATACATATATCACCGTAATTGTAATGATTTTCTTGGTCTAACTATAAATCAGGGCCAACATCAACAGGATTTCCTGTTGCTTAGCGAATGCAAACCCTCCACTGTAGGAATTCCCAACTTGGATGGGCCTGCTCTAGAGTATCATCAATTTGACTTCAATAAGAACTTGGATCACAGCTTTTATGCTGGTACAAGATTTTGTGAGGAAGATGGTGTTCCTCACATATCTAGCTATCTGCCAAGTGCCTGCCCTCCTCCTTCTGCTTTCTTAGGTCCGAAATGTGCACTTTGGGACTGTCCGAGGCCTGTACAAGGCTTGAACTGGTGTCAAGACTATTGCAGTAGCTTTCATGCTTCTCTAGCTTTAAACGAAGGACCACCAGGCATGACTCCAGTTCTAAGACCTGGGGGGATTGGACTTAAGGATAATCTACTTTTTGCTGCTCTTAGTGCAAAGGCACAAGGAAAAGTTGTTGGCATCCCAGAATGTGAGGGAGCAGCAACTACAAAATCTCCATGGAATGCACCTGGTAATTTAAATTTGATGCCGCATTATCATATAGAATTTAATTAGTAAGATTGTTGACTTTTGTAATAGTTACAGTAAGAGTACCTAATTTATATGTAAAAAATTTTATACTATCATCTGATCATAAATTGTCATGTAAGACAAGTTTATTAACTCTACCATAAGTATCTTAAAAGTTAAATCAACAGTGATTTCTGACAGTGCATAAAAATTAAACTCTTAATTATTAAAAGTTATAGTGAGAGTGATTTTTAATTAGTTAACATTATAAAAGTTGAGAATTCTTTTTTGATTGCAGAGCTCTTTGATATTTGTGTTCTTGAGGGTGAGACTATTAGGGAGTGGCTTTTCTTTGACAAGCCTAGAAGAGCATTTGAGAGTGGAAACAGGAAGCAGAGATCATTGCCAGATTATAGTGGGCGTGGATGGCATGAATCTAGAAAGCAAGTGATGAATGAGTTTGGAGGGCTGAAGAGATCCTATTACATGGACCCTCAACCACTGAACCATTTTGAGTGGCACCTTTATGAGTATGAAATAAGCAAGTGTGATGTTTGTGCCTTGTACAGGTTGGAACTAAAGCTTGTTGATGGGAAGAAGAGCTCAAAGGCAAAGCTAGTAACAGGTGAGTCAGTTGCTGATCTGCAGAAGCACATGGGAAGCCTCTCTGCCAAAGGTAGTAGAACAAAGCTTGGCATAGGAGGTGGTGTTTATTCAGCTTCTAACAGAGTTACTCTACTAAATGCACCATATCAATACGGCTTAACTGCACCATGTGACTATGTTGTTGACAACACAAGTGACTATTATGTCACGTGATTGATCTTGCATAACTTGGTCTTTTTTTTTCTTCTACTTTTTCTTCTTAGGAACAACAAGACAAGGTGATTTTTTTTCCTTGTCAAGACACTGTGAAGTGTGAATAGCTCATTCTCACAGGAGTGCTGCATGAGAGGCTGATGGATACCGAATTCTAACTTTGGAAGATTACCAACTCTAAATCATTTGCATTTCGGAAATTGACCCTTTACCGAGGCACAAAGTTGCATTAATTCAAAATGATGCCACTTATTTGGAGGGGTTAGATATGCACTCTGCACTCTGCAGGGCAGACTTTCAAGGGCACATAAATATTGGCTATGTAATAAATGTTTCTGTCTCTTCATGAGAATTTAATTTATCAATAACTCAGAAAAAGAAAAGGAATCTTGGAAAGTCAGCACTGATAATGATCTGTCTTGTGTTATTCTTTTTTGGTACAAGGTCACTTCACTTCTATCTCAACATTACAGTAAGCTTAAGCATCCAATTCGATTAATTTTCGAGCGATATAGATATGTTTGTGGTATTTGCAAATAACTTTTATTTGTTTTAGTTTTTGTAAAGAATTTAGTTCTTGATCTTTATGATGTTTGGTCTCACTTGTTTTAATTTTCCGTAGTGAATTTGCCGTTTGCAATAAGGCTTTTATATTTTTAGTCTATACTATAGTGATAAATAGGTGACGATAAATATTATAAAGATCAAAAAGAAAATAAAAAATGCAGAAAAACTAAAACTAAAAAATATCATATTTATACAGACTTAAAGTCTTGAATTTAGCATCCGACAGGGTGGTAAGTCGCACGTGTGAAAGTCTTGAACCGCTTTGGATCTTCCCTTCGCAAACAATCATAACTAGTATTTTATTTTTCCCATCAATAGAGTATTATATAGCCTTTCAAAAAGCTACCAGATCACTAGGAAAGCTACTACTTTCTTTAGAATATATGCCATAAGCTTGCTTTTATTTTTATATTTAGATAAACTACATTGTGGCTTTTAAAAAATTTAAAATAATTACTCCATTAAATGAGAACAAAATATAAATGATTCTAGTGAAGATTATTTCACTGGCAACATTGGTATAACATTATTATTTAACCCCATCATGTAATCATTTTAAATGTATCAATTGGAGGTTAATGAACAATTCATCCATCTACTCCATGGTTGGTTGTAAAAAAGTTACCTAAAGATTGAGGGTACACTTCAATCCTTATTTAAGATAATATTTGAAATTAATTGATAGTTGATCATAACAAAAGTGATTATAATAATCAAGGGTACACTCAAATAATTTGTAAAGAATGCAAATGCATGTTTAGAAAAAAGATGCGTTAATAAGAAGTATCGAGAGTTTGCTAGTTAAGAAATGAAGCCACTTAAAAGAGTAATTTTATAAACAAGTCAACAATCTGCATAGAAGAACAGATAAATAGTTAAGTAATGGTCCTTGCATATAGTGTTGCCTAGTAAAATGACAATCAATTTTAATGTGCCTAGTGTGTTTGTAAAAGATTGAATTATGAGTGATTTGGATAACACTATTATTATCATAGTGCATAGGAATTGGTGTAGAAAGAGAAACATCTATAGAGTTAAGTAATCATCTCAACCAAACAATCTCTGCCGTAGTGAAAGCCATGACACAATACTCAACTTCTATAGAGGAATGAGAAACAACAACTTGTTTCTTACTCTTCCAATAAATAAGAGAATCCCCTAAAAAGATGCAAAAACCTATGGTAGACTTATAATTAGTGGAATCACTTCCTCGTCAACATTTGAATAGGCACAAAGTCCAATGAAGAGGAGGAAGAAAAAAAGAAGACACTAAAATCAAGTGCCCCAAAGATAATGAAGAATGCAAAGAACAGTTGTTCAATGAACTATAATAAGAGAAGCAATAAATTGACTAACAATATGCACAACATAGACAATGTCGAGTCTAGTAATTATGAGATATACTAAGTTAACAACAAGAGTACAATATAAAGTGGGGTTTAACAAAGGGAAACCATCAAAAGAAGCATATAGTGCATTATGTTCGATAGAAGTATCTTGTATGTGAGTGTTAGAAAGACATGTCTGATAAAAAATGTTAGCAATGTATTTAGATTGAGAAAGAAGATAACCTTTGAGAGAGTAAACAACTTCAATCCCTAAAAAGTAACAAAGGGTGGCCAAATTTTTTTTATCTCAAATTGTCGAGCTAATTGCAATTTCAATTTCATTATCCCATCAACATCATCCAGGGTTATGATCACATCATCAACATATAAGGAAAGCAATATACAACCATGAGAAGTACATCGTATAAACAATGTTGAATCATGAGGGCTAGAGTGGAAGCCAAGAGATGCAATTACAATAGAGAACTTCTTAAACTAAGCTCTTGGAGCTTGTTTGAGACTATATATAAGGTTTTCTTCAACTTACAAACTTCACCTAGATCATGAGAACCACTAAGGGAGGAACCATTTAAACTTGTTCTTAAGGGCCACCATTCAAGAAAGCATTTTTAATATTCATTTGAGAAATATGTCATTGACAAACAAAAGTAACCACAATGAGAGCACGAAAGTGGTCATTTTAGCAATAAAAGCAAAAGTTTCTTCATAGTCCATGTCATATTGTTGAAAAAATCCTTTAGTAACCAAACGAATTTTGTATCTCTCAACAAAATCATCATACTTGGTTTTGATCTTGAATACCCAACGGGAGCCAATTGTGGACTTTCCCTAAGGAAGAGAGACAATGCCTCAAGTATTTATTTTATGCAAGGCAAAAGGTTCCTTTGCTATAGCCTACTACCAAAAGGGGTCAAGCATAGCCTCATGATATTGTACTCAATATGAACAATGTTGGATAATAGACCCAATGGACTCTTATGCTGTCTTATTTTTTAAAAGCTAATTTAGTCTTCTTTTATTTGTTGTCTTTGTTAGAAGGTACTCTAAAAACATAATCATTATCTTTGAGTCGAATCTCTTTAGTTAAAAGGTCATTAACAATAGAATCAACTACTGGAAGAGGATTGCAATGCAAAATTGTTTCATGAAGTTCTTCAAAGTCATCTCGAAGAGCCATAAAAAATTTGACCAAACGTTTTTTTCTCCAATCTTTGTAAGGTTTGAAAGCTTGTAATCCTGCAGATTTAGTAAGAGCCAACTAATCTCAAATATTTGACAAAGTAAAATAGAATTTTGGAATGTTCATGTTATTTTGTTGGAGAGCCCAAATGTTAATTTCCAATTAATATTGCTATGCAAACTTGGACTGAACATACAACTTATTCAAATGGTCCCAAACCTCTTTGGCTGTTTCATATTTTGCCAATTAAATCCTGATAGATTGGTAAATAGAATTGTTAAACCATGTAATTATCTTCAAATTGTTAACTTCCCAAGATTCCAACTTAACTTCATATTTCTCACTTTGTTTATCCCTTGACATAACATGTGCTCTAGACACGGAGTCTCACATCTTTTTGCCTTTCAAGAAGTTTTTTAAGACATAACTCCAATAAGAATATTTTTGCCCATTCAATTGCACACTAATAAATTAAAGTGAAACATCTTTTTCACTAGTTATTACTACAATCACAATTAGAAAAGGATAAATAGAGAACTTGTAAGAAAACCCTAATTCTTGTAAACAGGTTAGTGCAAATCCTAAGTACACCAAAAACTTCAAACAAGAAAGTATCCAACAAGATCACAAAATATGCTTATAATCATCCAACAAAAGTAAGTACAAAAGCTTACAAATGAGAAGCTAAGAAATTAAGAAACCAAAATAGAGTAAGTACTCTATGAACCAAATAACTTTCGCACCAAAACTTCTTTTTCCAATCCAACCAATGAAAATGAAGAAATGCAAATATAGAATGAAAAATAACCTAAATTGAAACTTGCTATAATACCATACAAAGAATGCAAATGCAAATATAGAATGAAAAATAGAGAAAAACAACATCAATACACTTATTTTATTAAATGCAAAATCTGATTACAATCAAATGACTAAGAGAATATAAAGATAACGAATAAATAAGAATTAAATTACTAAAACAAGACAACATATGAGCTCATTGAATCTATTATCTAACATTGTTCACGTTGTTTTCTAACTAAAATCTTGGCTCTAATTAAAATCAACATTTTATTTCGATAATTGTTTTAATACCAATTACCAGCGAAAAGCAATAGCTACTAAAATCATTTTATTCAAATAATTATCGCCACTTTTAATTACAAATATAAAAGGCAATAGTTATTAAGATAAAATGCCAACTTAGATTAAAAAATGGAACCAACAATATCTAAAGTATTATACGTAACTATTTTTCTAACAATAATAATAGATACCAGAATACCTATCCGAGGAAAATTTACTAAATCATGTCACTCCTAGGTATCTTCAATGCTAATTTGTTATCTTTTACCCAAAACATGATAATTTGTTAACAATATCCCCACCATAATCTCACGAGGCAATGAATCTTAATTTAACTCTTGAAAAATGCTTACTAGTTTCAAGTTAGCATTGCTACTCTTCTGTAAAATGTCTGATAATTTGAAACAAAAACTGTATAGCCCCAATTGGAGCAAAATATGACATCAAACAGAAAAGGGTTAGTAGGGAAAATATTATCGAGTGTATGTGAATCAAAAGCCAAGTCCATCAAGCTATATATTAACTCCTTTCTCCCAAGTCGGTCACCACAAAGGAGAAGAAATACACGCTTTACATATGCAACCAGCACATATACTGCAAAGTATAATATTAATTTAATATTACAGACCAGCTTCCCATCAAGGTGGCTTCATCTAAATAAGGACAATTATTCTTATGTTCATGCACATGATATTACATAACTCAGCTATTACATGCATCTTATAGTTGCACCGGTGCTCACATCAGGAACTGACATAATTACAGGTTGAAGATATAACAATGGCCTGTTAATCCGTCCATAACCACAAGAACAGGAATCTGCGCATCGGTGCTAAGCACCATCATCATCCGGGTGGTTCACCAGTTCACATTCATCAATCCACTCACTGTATCTGCATAGTTGGAAACAAGCTCCTTAAGTCACGAATGACACACACATACAGGGATGAAAAATGTTCCCCACATATTATTTAAACTTACATGTCTATTGGCTCTGATAAAGCTGCAAACACAAGAAAAGAAAAATTATTAGCAACATTTGTAGTGTGTGTACTCTAGGCAGATATATAAAAGGGAAAAACATCTTCCATTTTCTTTCAAATTTTAAATAGCTAAAAAGGAGAAAGTGAGATAAATTTAATCCTGGTGTTCTGCAAAACACTACAAAAATGATAATTCATCACCGGTAAGAACAAATTTCTTCCATTTTTGCATTTTCAAAACATAATGAGGGGAACACCATCAATATATCACCAAAATATATTAGCTATTTCCCATTTCTATATTCAGTGCCTGTTATTAAAGTCCAACTGGAATTAACTACTTCACTATGAATCAATGTCATAAATGCCAAACATAGTCCATTGAAACAAACCTGTAACGGTAGTGCTAAAGCTCTCTTGGCATATCCTGCAAGAAGCTTCCCCTATCAAGTTCTTCATGTCACTGTCAAAAGAACCCCAAAAATGAGCTTCAAACCAAGTATATTCCATCTCTAACATACAAAACAGAAGATATCCAAATGATTATAGAGCATATATGCCTCAATGCCTTTGGATGCATGTTAAGAACACACACACATATTTCCACACCCCTTACAAATAATTAAGAAGTGCTTACATGCGGCATTCAACGCTGCTGCCATGATTGCAGAAAGGGCAGCTGAAGACAGTATCAAGCTTATCCATTCGTTTCTTTGGAGGAGGCTTTGCTTTTGCCTTTCTTTTTCCCATAGCTTAAACCCCGCCTTCCATAAAAAAATCAAAACATGGAAAAAAAATACATACTATAGGTTAGTTTGTGTGATTAATATTAAAGAACGAAATGGGTTCATCTCTTTAGACTACGAAAACTTTGTTAAGATGAAATAGGTAGATCCCTTTATACAGCGAAATGAAAACTCTCTGCATTCCACAAATTGAAAAATACAGAGATGATTCGTATAAAAATAGCCATAGTCCCATAAAACAATCAAACTTCTCCTGCAATCCACTCAAGTAACAAATCCTTTTACATCTATCAATGCTCAGCAACACCGCACAATATGAAATATAAATCTAAAGGATAAAGTCATACTTTTTTTTGTTTGTTTGAAAGAATTTTCGGTTAACAAACAATTTGAAGGGAAAGTATTATTTTTTTAATCTCTCAGCAAGTCTCTGCTGCATCCGCGCCGTGAAAATTTAAGGGGTAAACAGCGGTATATATCGAAATTTCAATAATTTTCGTTACCCAGTTGAAAGAAAACACAGAATCTTGCTAAACAAAGTTATGCCTTTTACCCATTATGTTCCACGAATTTTCTAGGGCGGAATGGAAAAGAGGGAAATCAAATTAAACACTAGGCGAACCCAGAAAAAATTGAAGGAAAAAGAATGAAAGAAAAACATACCTGGATCGAACCCTAGAGAGAGAGAGAGAGAGAGAGAGAGAGAAAGAGCGTGTGATGTGTGTAATGATCAAGACAAGAGAGCAATAGCTGAGAGGATTAGAAATAAACGCCAAATTCAATTTTACCTTTTTCCACCACCTTTGCTCGCCTATTTTAAAAAAAAATTAAAATAAATTTTATAAAGACTTTAATAGTTTTAGTTTTTTTTTTTTTAAATTCCCCTATAATGCATAATTATTTTCTAAAGACTTTATTTTGGTTGTTTTAGAATTTTTGTTTCCCTAATCTCATTGTTTAATTTTTTTTTTAAAATTGTAAGCTTTTGATTTTTTTTATGAAAAGTCTAGACTTTTAATGAAGATTTGTATTATATTTAATGTTTTATTTTAATTTCTATCATTTTAATCATATCAAGATTCTTTTGTAATTATTATCAACCATGCTAATATATACTAATTTGGTTTGTCGTGATTGGTGAGAGATTCTTGTTATTTAATTAAATAATGATAATTTAGATCTTAGTTTTTTGCATATGTAAAAAATTGAAGTTAAAAAAAAAAATTTACTTATTTAATATTTTTCAAATTCTAAAATGATATTAGTTAATATGTTCGATAAAAATACTCTTTCGTAATGGATAAATAAACACGTCATTAAACAATAAAAGATTGTCAAGTTAAGAATTAAAATGAAGTAAAAAAATATTAACAGATTAGAAAAACAAATAATATAATGATTAAAGAAAAAAAAAACCTAACCAACTAATAATAATTGAATTCTTTAAACATATTTTCACAAAATATGAATATTCATTTTTTGAATAAATTACAATCACAATATTAATTGTGAGATTAATCTCTAGTCTAATAAACTAAAAATAATTTTGTCCAAATAAAAAAAAACTATCAATTATGAAATATTCTTAGTGTGAATTAAATTTTTTTTTATAAAAAAAACTATATAATAAAAATAAAATATTGAACTCTTAATAACTTCTTTTTGTTACATTTTTTAAAATATTTTTATCCTTGAACTATTATTATCATGTTATATAAAAAAATCACATAACTCACTTATTTTCTATGTTAATTTTTTTTTTTATAAAAAACAACACGAACGCTATCACTTTTAAATTATGTACTTATTCATATACTCTTTATGTTATAAATGCATAAAATACCTCTCTTATACTAATTTTTATTAAAAGGATTAAAGAAAGATCTAAATTAAATTAACACATTAAATTTAAGATGAATTTTAATCTAAACACCTATATGGTCACACATTGTGCACCCTTTTTGTACACCACTTTTACATACTAATGGATTTGTCTCATCACACTATTTTGTTGTGCAATTTCTGCACTGATTTTTTTCTTCCATATTTATCCTCCTCTCTCTTCCTATTTCTAACTCTTCTTTCTTTTCTTTTTCTTTCATGTTCCTATTTTTTTTTCTTTCTTTTTTCTTCCCTTTTCTCGTTCTCTCAACAATCTCCACATAAACAACCTCCATCGTAAAAAAAACACAACGAGAAAAATCATCACTTTCTCTAACTAAGCTAAGTTTTCTCCTAAATAAAATCTGAGACTTATAATCAACCAAAGACAAGCAAGGAAAAAAATGAAAAATCAATGAAAAAAAAGAAGTAAAAAAGCGATTTAACAACATCATAGTAGATCCTTCAATGCACCATGCAACACACCCTTCATTTTGGCCATATCATCATATCCCACAACCGCTAACTACCGTCACACCATATTAACAAATCTTAGCATGGTAACAACCACAAATCAAACAAATTGCTTTACCTTCTTTTTATTTTAAAAAGTTTTATTATTGAAATTAAGGATTCATTAACTTTAATAATTAATATTCATCCAAAAATCTAACTACTATTTTTAGTAGAGTTTCTCTTTATAATCATATTTTTTTTCATCTTTAAAATTCAAATTTAATATATTACTTAAAGAAATTGAATCCAAATTTACTCAAATCAACAACTTGTTGTTGTTGGTGTCCACCTTATTTGATAAAACATTTGTATCTTCACTCAAATTACTTTTTCTTTTCTTTTCAATTTCACCACTGTGAAACAATCACATACCCTTTTACTTTAATTATTATCATTTTTGCTTTGGATAAACAATACAAGTGAAAGAAGATATGTTATTATAAATGTGACAATTAAGGTTTTTCAGCATGAATGAACGGTGCCATTCACAAATTAATAGATATATATTTTTTATACAATGGTAAAGAAATTTAAAATTAACTTGATTTAAGGGTGCCATTCACAAATTTGAAGTATTTTTATTTGGGCCAAGTGTGACCCATTTTGGAAGAAAAAAGTGGGCCATAGTCCATAGCGCTATATGTTGAATGAAGAGCGGAGAGAGGCGAAGAAGCGTTGTGACGACGGCGATGGCAATGGGCGCTTCCTCACTGTTTTCCCCTGTTCTCCCCTACACCAAATTCTCACCAACTCTGCACTCCAGAAATTCCATTTTTGTCCTCTCGTGCTCTTCTCCGAAGAGCATTCCGGTGACGGAGCAGCAAGTGCTCCAAGCCATAGCTGACTCCGACGGCAAGAGCCTCCCATGCGTCAGAACCTACGACAACGACCTCTCTCAGCTCACTCTCGTCGGACCCGTCGATTTCCAGCAATCTTTGACGGCGGGCCGCCTTT